ACGATGGGGAAAAGGGAAAAGGCGGTGTCTGAAAAGATAATGGCTGAGAATGTGACAAAACTGCCAAAGATATCAGGGGACACACTCAAGGTGTGCTGTGAACCACAAGCAGAATTAAAGACAAAAACACACCATAAAATAACTGTTGAAAGCCAAAGATGAGAGGAAAATCTTAAAAGCATCTAGAGAGATAAATAGATATAGATAGAGATGTAGATGTAGATATAAATATAGATATAGATGATATAGATATAGACATCCATGTATATATATATTCACACACACGTGCACCTTCACATCATGTCACCCAGGCAAGTGCATCGCAACCAAACTCTTAGTTCTATTTCACTCATATTAGATGGGAGTTGAGTACGCCAACTGGTATGAAGTCTACACCCTGCCAAGATTCAAATCCATGTTGGTAAACCCTGAATCCGCTGCTGTCTCTGGACAAGCAGACAAGCCGCTTCCCTGCAAGCCGCTTTCCCTCTCTGTTCCCCACCTCCTCGCCTGTCAGTTGTCCATTGCCCAAGATTATTACAAAAAGTAAAGTTACTTTTTACAAAAAGTAAAGTTACCCAACACATGAAAGTGTTGGGTCAGCTGTAATTCATGCTGAAAAGGTAAGATTCCTCTGCTCCAGGAAGCCGTCCCTGATACGGCACCTCTAGAATCACTCTTGGCGGTTTAGGACTCCTCCATGGTGCTCCCATCGTATGTATTCTCCCCATTTCTGCAGCTCTGTACTGACATTGTCTTCAATGCCCAGCCCTCCCCACTAAAGGAGAACCCAAAGTGGCAGGGTAAAGCCTTAAGTCTATATTCACAGTATCCAAACATAATTTGTAAGTTCAATGTGGGCTGACCAAGTTATAACGTGGTGGCCCCAAAGAGTTCACAGCTCTAAAATTTGTGGGCGATTACTCCGATTTAGGCACTAGGCTGAGAGTCTGCAAGCATTTTCTCATGTGATTTCCACAACAGCCTAACGGGGACACTATTATTATACCCATTTGATGGATGAAAAAAACACTTCGGCTTAGAAAAATGAAGTAGGACAGACAGCGTCAGCTAGCTAGGAGGCCGAGGAGGCGGGATTGGAGTCCGTGCCCATCAGACATTACTCTTAATCCTGTTCTGCCCCCTGTTGTGGGCCAACCCCTGTGACCTTCTGGGAAGAGTACATCCTCCCGTGGAGATGGGTCCTGTATGGGGCCACATACAACTCGGATGGCCCAGAGAGGGACTGACCAGGACCTCTCCCAGCTGCCAGCCGCAGGGGCTGTGAGAATGCACGGGAACTCAGAGCCTAAGGCCCTCGACCTGAGCTCCCCTCATGCCATCCTAAAAAAGAGAAATCAAAAGCCCGTCTCTTGGTCCAAAGCTTAAGGTTAAAGAAAAAAATCCCTAGCCACAGGTAGTTAAGTGATTATAAACTGTAAAAATAAATCAGCCTGATATAATTGCTCGGAGGAAAAAGATGACCAACATATTTAAAATGTCCATCGTGCCCCCTCTCCCATCTCCATTTGGCTTCCTCTAATTACCTTCACATTTCATTTCCATCAGCAAGATGACCTGTATTTCCTTCGAGAAGTGCTGAGGAGGGGGCCTGGCTGAGGAGCAAGGCCCCTGGTGATAAATCAGGCTCGCCATTAGGAGTGAAGTGCTCATCTCGGCAGCGCTAAATGCAGGATTTATAAAGATGTCTCCGCCATCCAGCCCAATTGTGGACACCATAATAAATTCATGAACGGGTGCCAGGGTAGCGCACTTCATTATGTGCAGGGCTCCTGGCCATTAATCTAGCCGGGCGGCGGGCAGGATTCCTGGGGAAGGGAGACAAATTTATGCGGCCCAAACTTACTCATTCCATTATGGATTTAATCGGCCCAGGCTCCAGGCTGCACAGAGGCGAGGGGACCATTTTTTACACTTTGGATCAAGTGTTTGTAACTCCCCGTTGTGTCCTATTTCTTCCACAATAACGCCCTAATTTTATCCTTCACACCGCTCGCAGGGAAAGTCTTCTAGAGACCGTCATTGCTGCCACTTACGCGGGATAAAATATTTATACAATCAATTGACAGAGAGCATTTTCCCTTAAATGTCCTATTAACATGGAAATGCTCATATGCAAAATGGGCCCAGGAGCCTCTCTAGACTCTTAACCCTTTACTTCGCCACAGAAAAGTTTGGCCCAGGGTGCGGAGAAGAGACAAAAGCACGTGTCACACACCTTGAGGTTGTTGCCTCCGTCTTCTTGGGTGTTACATGCACGGGTGATATGTGTTCAACGTGTTTGCCCATGCACGCTCCGTCATGTCTACCAAGAGGGATTAGGTAGCAATTCCTTTGGCCTCTCCTTAGAACTAAACTCCAGGGATCATCTAGAAGCTGACAGATCCACACCACTCCTGTAGTGCCCTGCTAAAATGAAAACTTCTCAGTTTCCTAGTGCCTACAGCAAGATTTGCAAATCCATGGCGTGTGGACCACCACCTCCTGCACAGGAGACACCGTACTTTCTCTCTAGCTAAGCCCAGATGAGGCCTCAGAATCCCTCTCAACACAGGCAGATAAGGCCAGTCAACCTCCATTGAGAAGGATAACAATCGCATCACTTATGTAGCACTTACGATGAACAGGCAGCATGCTCCGTGATTTACGTGTAGTGACTCATTTAATCTCCACGACAACCCTACAGGGTATGTACTGGTATCCCTCCCACGTTACAGACGGGCTGGGGAACAATGACGTGGATAGATATGACCGGAAGTGCACGACCAGGGAACGGTGCATTCCTAGCCCCCACAAACTCTGGAGCGCGGCACTGGAGGCCTTCCATGATTCACTACACTCTGTTCCCCAAGTATAGCACTGATATTGCTAAACAGACTGATCCTAAGGAGTCATCCAAAGGGAGAGGTAGGACCCTCATGGCCTGAGTGAACCGGCCACATCCTTCACACCAGTAGACTACCAGCAGGTGCAATGAGGCCTGATCTTCGGACACTTGGGCCCTTTTGACCTGAGACCCAATTCCGACCCCGAGGTGACAAGAGTCTTTGGGCTGTTCAGTCAATTGCAAGACCCCACGAGAGCAAAACCAACCCCTTCCGCAAACACGTATGAGACCTACTATGCATCAGGTCCTGTGCAAAGCCTGCACCATGCTGGGGGTGGAGACATGAGAGTGAATAAGGCCTGCCCGTTTCCTTTGAGGAACGTACCATTTTTCACAGCAATAAATGGCAACGAAGGGGGTGCCCGGCGGGCTCAGCTGATAGAGGATGCGACTCTTGATTTGAAGGTTGTGAGTTTGAGCCCCACACTGGGTGTAGACGTTACTTTTAAAAAATAAAATAAAATAAGATAGACAATAAAATAAGCTCTATAAAACCTGAGCACATGCCATGGGTACACAGAGCAAGAATGAGGACATAGGAGCAAAGTTCGCAGAGGGAAGATGACAACGTTTAAGTGGAGCTTCAAAGGTAAGCAGGATTTCACCGGGTACACTGTGCGATGGGCAAGCACAACAGAGACATTCCAGGCAGCGGTCACGGCACAAGCAAAGGCATGGCGAGGCGATGTAGCATCATCTGCTTGGGAATGGTAAACAGAAGGGGGCTCACAAGAGCATCTAGAACCTTCACCTATGACTCCCAGCCCTAGAACTCGGTGTCTGTCTGTTCACATGAAGCTCCTAGTGGTGTGGGGGAAGGATGTGGAGACAAGAAGAACCCTGTAAACACGCAGACCAGGAAACAGAACTCAGAGGGAGGAGACAGTGCCCCCATCTGGATGCGCCAGAGCCCTTAAAGATAAAAGTCAGCTAGAGTTGTGACTTAGCATGGGCCAGACTGAAACCGAGCACACCAATGTGCCACTCGCTTGGACTGCGAATGGCATTTGAGACCCGTGTGCTGGCGAAGAGAGAGCTGGACAGAGATATTCAACACCTCCTTGTGTCTGGAGAGAGCTTTCTCAAGAAACAGGGGAAAAGCGAACATTGCGGGTGACCACAACCTACTGAGAAAGGAAAGAGAGCAACACCCTGAAGAGGCAAAGGATGAGCAGGACTTTGAAAACACAATCCACAAGAAGGAGATAACGACTCTAGGGAACTCTTGGGGGCCCTGAAGAGCATCCACCAAGATACGATTTCCATGAAACTGGTATACCAAGCTCTAAGAGGGATGAGACTCACACCAACAGACTGAGATACAAGTAAACGCAAATGGGATCCAGAAGAACCGTAAGGAAACAGAAATGTACTGACAAAATCGAAATCCGGATTTCATGCAGGAAAGGGCAGAATCAATAGGTGATCATCAAGTCATGGGATGGAGAACAGGCTAGAGAAACTCTCCAGAATGTAGAAGAAAGGAAAAGGTCGTTGATAATGATGCAAGGAGAGGGAGAAGTGTGGAGAAAATACAAGGACGGGTGAAGGGAATTGTCTCAACTTTTTTGGTTATAATTTGTTAGTGGGTGCAGTAGTGCTTAAACCCCTATAATCTAAATAGTTTGCCATAAAAAAACGATTCCTCGGGGTTGCGTTGCTGTCCATGGTATGTAGGTACAAGCCCATGCAGAGCTGGGCCAGAAGAGAGGTGAATGGTTATCACCCCTCAAAATCATCAGTCTTCTCTCCAATGTCCAAAGTTGAGTATTGGTTACCTATTGTGAGGTATCCAACTATTCGCAAATTAGGTGACTTTAAAAACCACTTTATGGGGGTACCTGGGTGGCTCAGTTGGCCAAGCGTCCGGCTCTTGATTTGGGCTCAGGTCGTCACCTCATCGTTCGTGAGATCAAGCCCCACACTGTGCCCAGTGCTGACAGTGAGGAGCCTGCTTGCGATTCTCCCTCCTTCCCGCTCTCTCCGCCCTTCCCCTCCTTGCACTCTTTCCCGCTCTCAAAATAAATAAGTAAACTTTAATAAATAAATAAACAAACAAACAAACAAATACATAAAGTCACTTTATCTTGCTCAGGATTCTGTGGGAAGGATGTAGACAGGGCTCAGCCGGACGGTTCATCTCTGAGTCACATGGTGTCAGCTGGGCTAGAGGATTCATTTTCAAAACGCTTCTCCACTCCCGCATAGGCACCCTGGTGAATGGCTGGAGGACTGGGCTCAATGGGGCCCCTTTCACTCTCCACGTAGCTCCAGCTTTGTCCACGTGGAGCAGAGAAGTCCTACTCCTTACGTGGCCGCCTAGGGTACCAAAAGCGAGTGCTCCCAGAGACAGGAAGTAGAAGTTGCCTGGGCTCAGAAACCGGCACAGAGAATCTTCTGCCCAATTCTACTCGTCAGGCAGTCAGAGAGCCCGCCCAGGTCCAAGAGAAGAAGACACAGGACCCCAGGTCTCCATGGGAGGAGCGTCAAAACTCACAGACATCTTTAACCTGCCACAGTTTATTATATGTGATGCTCTCTTCTCTTAGGAGATTCCTAAAGGAAAATGATGCAAGGAAGATGATAAATGTGGAGAAAGTACATGCTTCTTTCCCAGGAAATCCCTCAGTCCTTCATGAAAATAGACCCCTGGCATGTGCCTCCCTGAAGCTCGCCAGACTTGTCTGAACCCTCAGGAGCCTGTGGTTCAAGCTCAAGGTAGAGCTCTTTCTTGAAAGTTTAACAGTAGAACCTTAAATTGCTTTTTAGGAAAGAAAGAAAACTTTCCAAATCCTAAGAAAAGAGAACAGGAAGAAGAGAGCAAAACAAAACAAAGCCCGTGAGGATTATATTGGGAGATCAATGAACACATCATTTAAAATGGAAAACACAGGGGCGCCTGGGTGGCTCAGTCGGTTAAGCGTTGGACTCTTGATGTCTGCTCAGATTATGATCTCTTGATTCATGGGATTGAGCCCTACGCTAACAGCTGGGAGCCTGCTTGGGACTCTTTCTCTCCCTCTCTCTCTGCCCCTCCCCTGCTTGTGCTCACACATGCTCTCTCTCTTTCTCACAAAATAAACAAATAACCTTTAAAAAAGAACATTAAAAATGTTTTTAATGTTTTATTTACCTTTGAGAGAGAGAGGGAAAGAGAGAGAGAGAGAGAGAGACAAAGTGCAAGCAGGGGGAGAGGCAGAGAAAGGGAGACACAGAATCTGAAGCAGGGTCCAGGCTCTGAGCTGTCAGCACAGAGCCCGACGCGGGGCTGGAACTCCCGGACACGGGGCTCAAACCCACGAACCCACTTCCACATGAGTGGAAGTCAGGTGCTTAACTGACTGGAGCCATCCAGGTGCCCCCCAAAAAGAGAACACCCAAAAAAAGTATACAAATAAAATGGAAAACACAAAATATAAATAAAAGAAATGTGAACATACACATTAGCTCTGAAAGTAAATTCACGTTCCCTAGACAATACCAACCTACAAGGGTGGAAATAGGGCCCTAGATATAATAATTACCCCTGTGTTTCTCTTGCCTCCGTGTGCAGGGTCCTAGGTTCCAAACATGTACCCTTCACCTTGCCAAGTTGTTGTTGAATTTCCTCGGAGTAGAAGTAAAACTTGACTACATTCTACTTCCATGAACCTATAAAAAAATGAGAGGCCCATTAAAAAATGAGAATAAGGGGTCTAAAAAAAGGCATTGAAAAAGGACAGATTTGCACACAAAGAAAGGAAAAAATAATCCAAGGCTTGGAATGAAAGAAGGCCATTTAATTAGGACAAGAATAAAATCTCCAATGAAGATATCATAAAGCTCTGTATGAACCTTCAAGATATTTAAACGTTTTGGAAATGTACACAGGACCCAAAAGAGACGCATTTGTGAGAAGGTTAATGACCCTCAGCTGCCTTCAATACATCAACCGAGAAAACAAGAAACTAAGACTAAAGATATATAGGATATCCAACTTTGTTCCCTATAAATACTTTTTCAAGTGTTAGTACAACGTTTTCAAAAGCTTGCCACGTACTGCACTGCCGAGAAAATCTCGATGAGAAAGAAAAGTTTACAGGCCAAATTCCCCGATAGAACTAAACCAAATGGCAACAGTTCTAACAGCCACAAAGAAAATTCTAGAAACGTGGATAATAAATAAATAAGTAAAAAAATTCTCATAAATAGTTATTGAGTCAAAAGGGAAATAAAAACCTCAGTTACAGACTATTTAGACAACAATAAAATGAGAACAAAACAACGCTTTGTCAGAGCTCATGGACCACTGCCAAAGTTACACTTAGGGAAAAGAAATGCAAAGCAATAAGTTGTTTTATTATTAAACAAGAAAGAATCACAATAAGTGAATTAAATGTTTGTTTCCAGAATTTAACAAATGAACAACAAAACAAGCCGAAGGAAAGCTGGGTACAAATTAAATGGATAAAAACCAAAAAGAGAAGGCGCAGTATAAATGCGTAAGGTGACTCATTAAAGCTGTAAGAAAACAGACTTTATGCCGGCCAATTCAACAATAAAAAGGAAAGCAAGAATAAGCTCAAATAAAACTGGAAACGAGCGAGGGAAAGTAATAAGAGATAAGAGCTTTTTTACATGAAATAATGAGAAAAATTACAAAATAAAATAATGAAGTCTTTTCCAAGTATAAACGTAACAGAAAAGGGGCACCTGGTTAAGCGTTCGACTTCAGCTTGGGTCACGATCTGGTGGTTCATGGGTTGGAGCCACGCATCTGGCTCTGGGCTGACAGCTCAGAGCCTGGAGCCTGCTTCGGATTCTGTGTCTCCCTCTCTGTCTCCCTCTCTCTCTCTGCTCCTCCCCCACTCATGCTCTGTTTCTCTCTCTCTTTCAAAAATAAATAAACTTTACAAAAAAAAAAAAAAAAAAGTAAAAGAAGAAAGCATAAAGGAAAAAAGATATTAATAGACTACATAAATAAGAAACGTTTCCGTAATCTCCAGAAATTAAAAATCAAAAGCATACAGCAATCTAGGAAAAAATATTTTCAATCTATACAGTTGACAGATCATCTAAATTAATAAGGGTAATATGAGCACCCTATAGAAGTGGGGGAAGCATATGAATAGGCAACTCAGAGAATTAGAACTATAAGTGCCCAATACATATGGAAAAAAATGTTTAATCTAAATAATAACAAAAAGATGAAAAAAACAAAACAAGCCAGATATTTGAACGGTAATAGCCAGAGTTGGTAAAGGTATAGATAGGCAAACTGGCTTGGAAATAAGGACCAAAAAGGCTTAAAATATTCATAACCTTTGACTTACCAACTCTCTTTCTAAAAATATATACTGAGAAAATAACCACATATTGTGTACATGTTTACAAAGCTATATAATTCTAGTGTTATTCATAAGAAAAAGTAGAATTAACTAATTTCTAACAATAAGAAATTAGATAAATAACTTACGGTAAATCCATAGCGTAAAATATTATGTAGTGCTTAAATCACGTTTTTTGAAAAATAATGACAAAATTTCATGTTTTATTAAACAAATTATGGAACCAGCTAGACAGGTATAAAGTTTATAAACCAAAATGTTAAAAGGAGCTGGAAATCCATGTGATTTTTATTTTTAAAATTTGCTTTACTACATTTTCAAGTGTTCTAAAATTAACACATATGTATCTTTGGAATCAAGTTAAATTCAATATTAAATAATTTTTTTCTGAAAATTCTCAGTGCAATGGACAGTTTCTAAGAAAATATAATTGATCAAAATTGATTTGAGGCATTTCAAAACTATCAAAAAGTTGCCTTTGAATAAATCTTCAGAGCTAGCCTATCTAATATGAATACTTTCTTGGGGTTCTTGAGTGCCTCAGTCAGTTAAGCATCTGGCTCTTGGTTTTAGCTTGGGTCATGATCTCATGGTTTGGGGGATCGAGCCCCACATTGGGGCTGTAAGCACGGAGTCTGCTTGAGATTCTCTCTCTCCCTCTCTCTCTGCCCCTCCCCCCCAGCTCACTCTCTCTGTCTCTCTCTCAAAAATAAATAAATAAACAAAAAAATTTAAAAAACATGAATACTTTCACCCTCCCAGGGGGTCAGATTACCTCCATACTAATCATCTTTCCAAAGTTAGAGAAAGTTAAAAAGCTTCCTGATTCATTTTACAGTATAGAAAAATATGACAAAGATAACACAGAAATCTATAGCCCAATCGTACTTACAAATATGGGCTTTTAAATGTTTTCTAAAAAAAAAAAGAAAGAAAGAAAAAAAAAAACACTTAACAAATTGAAACCAGCAGTGTGTTAAAATACAGCTAACCAAATATGATTCCAAAATATTAGTTATCTGCGGATCTAAACAATGGGTTTAAATTAGTAACATTATTAAGACAGAAATTTACATGAGTAAATCAAAGGATAAGACCAGCCAATCATTTCAATAGATTCCAAATAGGAATTGGATCAAATTCAACCTCCAGTTCTTAGTAACCTGGAAAGAGAAGCATACTTCTTTACTGTGTTAAAGTCTGGGATAGTACTTAAAAACACGTGTTCTGGCATTGAAGCTCATGGATATGAATCCCGACTTTCTCAAATTGCTAGAGACAAACAGTATAATCTCGGTTATGTTGGAAGGTCTAGCCTTCATCGGGCTTTTGTTTTTTGTTTTTTGTTTTTCTTGCAGATGGCATGATGTCAACCTGGAATATCTGAGAGAAAAAACAGACAAGACACTCTTGAGAAAGAAGTATTTGAGGCCTGGGGAAAGACATCAATTCACTCTGCATGGAACATCCCTTTCTATTGTTTGGAAATTTAAGAAAAGATTTTTTTTTTAATGATGCACAAGTATAATCTGTTCTATTAAAAAGAAAGGTAGAACCATATTATAGGGACAGCCAACGGCAGGTTTTCAGGATAACGTCTAGAATTTGGAGATTTTAAATTAAAGAGGACAAGTTCATAATTTAGACTAAAAATTAGGATATATGAAATGACATGATTGTGTGGCATTTTCTGCTGAGCAGTTTAGTGGAAAACTGTGTGTGTGTTCTGTGTGTGCACGTGTGTATCTTTGTGTGTGCATGCATGCACGTGTGCATGTGCGTGTGTGTGCGTGTGTGTGTGTGTGTGTGTGTGTGTGTGTGTCAGTGTGGATAAGGATTGGGCAAGTGTAAATAAAACAAGGGTGGTCATGAGTTAAAAATTTTTAAAGCTAGAAGATGGATATACATGTGAGTTCGTTATACATTCTCTATAAAGAGTTAAACAGGCTCCGAGCCATCAGCGCAGAGCCCGACGCGGGGCTCGAACTCACGGACCGCGAGATCGTGACCTGGCTGACGTCGGACGCTTAACCGACTGCGCCACCCAGGCGCCCCGAAAAATAAAGTGTTTGAAAAATAGTCGAAAACAATGAACTGAAAAATTACTAGAAATAATTAAATTAAAACGTAATGAAAATACAGTAAGGTAGAAGAATTCATAACAAAATGCACAAAATAAAAAGCTTTCATAAATAGCAGCAGAAACCTGTTATAAAATTGTATTGATACAATGACCCCAGACACAAAACAACGATATACGTAAAATACTTAAGAATAATGTTTACGATCAATACGCAGGATTCTCTAGAAAACGACGTAAAAGAATTTGTAAACAAAATGACTAAGATGCCATGTTTCTGGATGGGAAGATGAAATAATTTAAAAATTATTACTAAATTTAATAACATATTGTATACAATTTAGACCAGATCCCACCGAGATTCACCCGGGAAAGCAAGGAGGGGTAATACTTAATGCCATGAATCAAAAGGTTTTGGGGAAAGACAAATAGATTATATTATTCAGACCATATTTTTTTTTTTTTAATTTTTTTTTTTCAACGTTTATTTATTTTTGGGACAGAGAGAGACAGAGCATGAACGGGGGAGGGGCAGAGAGAGAGGGAGACACAGAATCGGAAACAGGCTCCAGGCTCTGAGCCATCAGCCCAGAGCCCGACGCGGGGCTCGAACTCCCGGACCGCGAGATCGTGACCTGGCTGAAGTCGGACGCTTAACCGACTGCGCCACCCAGGCGCCCCTATTCAGACCATATTTTGAAGGGGTGGGGAAGCAGCAAGGATTGGATTCCATGACCACGTATTAAACTGCATTAGAGATACTATAAATAAAATAGTAGGAAGGGCACCTGGGTGGCTCAGTGGGTTAAGTGTCTGGCTCGGGTCATGGTCTCGTGGTTCCTGAGTTCAAGCCCCACATCGGGATCTCTGCTGTCAGCACAGAGCCTGCCTCAGATCCTCTGTCTCCCTCTCTCTCGGCCCCTCCCACACTAGCATGCTCTCTGTCTCTCAAAAATAAATAAACATTTTAAAAACTAAATAAATAAAAGAGTAGGATATGTCTCAGTCAGCACAGACTAGCTTCTGCTGTAGTAAACAAATAACCCCCAAATAGGAGTGTCTTAGAAACAAAGACTTCTATCTTTCTGAGGCACATACATTAGAGGTTGACTGGGGATTCAGCTCCAATTCTCCTTCCTCCAGCTAATGAAATCAGTGATGGAAAAGAACAGAGTTCTGGAATGTCTCCCCCTGGCAAGTGAAGTTTCCAGCCCAGAAAAGAGCCACCTCATGTCTGCTCATTTTTCATTGGCCAGAGCTAGTCACATGACTCCATTCACACATAAGGAGTATGGCTACCAGCTAATGTAACCTAATCACTTTCCTGGAAGCCAGAAAGCCAGAAATATTGGTGAGTTGCATTAATAACTACTACAGATGCTTGAGGGAACAAAAACAAACAAAGAAAGAAGCAGCTACCCAACAAACCAATTCCATTAAGTAGAAGAATACCATACGTGAGGCACCATGTCGGGGAAAGGGAACACAATTAGGTAATAAAACCACCGGGAAAACTGGTCAAACATTTGAGGTGAAAAATATTAGTTTCTTACCTAGTCCCGTGAATAAACTTCAGATGCTAAACATATTTAAAAAAATCTTTTAAAAGACAGGAAAAACTATATATAGGTAGCTATATCTTTATCTTTAATTATATCTTAATCCTGCTTGTATGATTAAAATAAAAGCCTCTCTATAAATGTGTAAAAATACATATATTAGTCATATTTACCTATGATTAAGACAAGAAAAGAAATGACTGACCTTAAAAGCAATGGGGGGGCACCTGGGTGGCTCAGTCAGTTAAGCGGCCGACTTCAGCTCAGGTCATGATCTCACGGTCCATGAGTTCGAGCCCCGCATCGGGCTCTGTGCCGACAGCTCAGAGCCTGGAGCCTGTTTCAGATTCTGTGTCTCCCTCTCTCTGACCCTCCCCTGTTCATGCTCTGTCTCTCCCTGTCTCAAAAATAAATAAAATGTTAAAAAAAACAAAAAGCAATGGGATAAATTCCAAAAGAAAATGAAAGGATTTGACCAAATACATTCAAATGTCTTTTTTATACACGTTTTTGGTTTTTAATTTTAATTTTTTATTTTTTATTTATTTTTTAATTTTATTTAAACCCAAGTTAGTTAACATGTAGTGTAATAATGAACTCAAGAGTCAAATTCAGTGATACGTCACTTATATAGAAAATGTCTTGATGTAAACTCACATAAATATATGCATATATATACATATCTGTAAAAGTCAAACAATAGACTGGGGGAAATAGTTATAACAAATACACTCCTCTTAATTTAAAGGCTAGTCTAATCTAAGGACTTTATACA